ACATGAATGCATGAATTAGGCAGGTTCAACCGAGAGGATACCTAGGGCAGGGGTCAGCAAACTGCGGCTCTGGAGCCGCATGTGGCTCTTCCCTTCCTCTGCTGCGGCTCCGTCACCGGTCAGCACCACAATTTTGAGAGGAGCTTCCGGTTGGGGGGGGGGAGAAGCACAGTGCGCCAGGAGAAGGCTCTATGGCAAGGAGAGGGTTTTCCAGTTGTCTCCACAATTGATAGGGCTTTCTGTTATGACAGGTAGAGGAAAACGTACGCCGCGCTAGTAGCAGACTATGGTGGGGGAACTGAACTTCTGGTCAGCTCCAGAATTGAACAGGGGGCTTCTGGTTAGGAACTTTGTGGCTCTCGGTGTTTTCTTTTCTGTGGGAAACAGGTCCAAATGGCTCTGAATATTTAAGTTTGCCGACCCCTGACCTAGGATGCTCAGGAAGCAAACATTATAACCAAAACCAGCACTTTCAATTAGATTCAGACATGTATCAACCAGTGGATCAAAAAAGAGATATATAGCAACAGTCATCTACCATAACCGGACTACTACATTTTAGAATTGCACCTTCTGACTCATTTTCAAAGGCATCCCCAGGTAAATTTGCTACTGTAATACAAAATGATAATGCCACAAGTTATTGTCATCAGGGCATTCCTGGAGTGCATCAACCAGAATTGTGTTAAGGCACCATAGTTTTATCTGCTTTTGCAGCAGAAGCTGCAAGTTCAGGAAAATTCCTAAATTGTGTCTCTCCTTAGTCATTTAAAGTCCTAATATGACCTTTGGAACTACGATGTTTCTGGATAAGCAGTAATTCTGTTTTCAAGGAATTTATCAGAAATGGTTTATACCTATGTAATATGTAGTCTCCTGAAGCTGATTAAGACTTCTATGGTGTCTCTAGTTGGACTTGGGATTTGCAGTGGAACATTGCCAATGGTCACACAACCCTTTACAAGTTTCAGAATCCATTATACAAACGAAGTATTTCTTAAGGTTTATATTTTGTGCTTTTATTACAAAATTGGGAAGACCATGATTCGAAAGCCTCCAGACAATTCTGAAAGTAGGTTCCTCCTTCAGAGCTATTTCCCCCTTTTCAGTTCAACAATTAAAATAATTTGGCAGACATTTTCTAGAGGCAAGTCCTCTATTTAAACTACATTATATCTCTGCAATGTTCCTTCCTTTACTGTACTTGCTGAGTCACTTTGTGACAAATAGTTTCTCAGTCTACTATCTTGTTATATTTATTCCCTTCCACAATAATCATTCCATATACATGTATTATCATCCTATTTTTCAAAATAGTCTTGCATTGCTTAGCCTTTCATTTGTGTTGCAACTTCATTGACTTCCTGCACAGTTCTTGCTGCTGAATATTTAGCTTTTAAAAAATACATTAACTTTATTTAAAAATGATTTTAGAATTTAAAAATAATATTTGCATTTACAAAGAAAAACACATTTATTTACTTTTGAATGTTTAAATGCTAAGTTTAACTATAATACTCATTTTGCAGGTATACAAGTAAGCAATAGGATGGTAACAGACTAATTAATCTTATGAATGAATAAATGTAAGAGTGAATGGCATCATTAGCATTGTCTTTTCATAGGACACAGTGGAAGAAACTTATCTCAGTTTAATTTTTAAAAAGAGAGGAAATTTAGGGAATTGTTGGCTAATAGTATTTTCATACACAGCTGTATATCTCGTGCATGTATTTCAGCACGAAATGGACCCAATATCCTACCATTTTTACATCTGCCAACGTACTTAGCGAACAGCCTCTACTGAATTAAGTATAGGAGAAAAACTCCTAAAAAGGATATGAAATCTCCAGGGATGTATAAGTTGAATGATTCCTTGTGAGATCCCTTCCTGACTAAACTTTTTCAAAAATAGATAATGTTGTACCTGCCCACTGGAACAAACTATAACATATACAATCTTCAAAAGGAAAATGGGTAGGAAGCTGTTTGTGATCATCCAATTAGTCTGTTAGATACTTATAAACTTTATGCTTCTTCTAAAATTAATTCTTAATAAATGAGAAGATTGGGGAGAAGAATTATTTATTAGTTATCCAGAATAGGCAGGCTTTCAAAAAGGGCATAGTAAATTAGATTGCTGTATCATGAAGGCCCTTATTCATAAATATAATAAACATACAAAGCAATTCTTTGTGGCCTTGATTGATCTTCTGTCTGCCTTCTTTAATGGATAGTTCTCATCTGTGGGACAACTAGTTAAGATAGACCTTGAGAGATCCCTACTGAAACCTAATAATTGAATTACATATCAGCCAGCATAAACTGGGCCCACAAGGATCCTTGTTAGACTCTGTTTCACGGGAGTCAAACTCGCGTTGTTATGGTAGTGTCATGTGATGTATTGCGACTTTCCCCCCCTTTGCTAAACCGGATGTGGGTAGGGCCAGCATGTGACACATCTGGCCTGTGGCACGTTCGACAGCGCTGCCCTATTTTATTGGACAGAAGAGGCAAACAGGGCTGCTTCTTTCGCTTCTTATTTAACTTTTATATTAATAATACTGCTAGTGGCCATGAAATCACAAAGTTGTTTCATCCTATCACTTAATGTATGGAAAAATTCTGTGTTAGTGTATGCTATTGTCATGGCTCTTTATTTCCTATACTGAGATTGGCTTTACAAGATTGGCCATACTAACTGATTATTATGAAATGGAAAAATTGAGCATAAATTATGATAAAACAAAGGTAATGGATTTGGCAGAAATAATACTAAATGCAAATAGAAAATGTATGCCCAACAAATAGAGCAGCGTTCCTCCTTTAAATGCCTACATATTACCTTTCATAAATCCCTTACGTGGAAAACACATTTAATTACTGTCTTAGCAACTGTCCCTGATACAATGGGTACTGTTCGAAGGTTTCTCAGTTGTAAATGATTCTAAAGATTATATTTAAAATATTCCTGGCAAGGCCAGAGCCCAGATAATGTATGGGGCTGAGTTCTGGTTGTGGGATGAGAAGGTGCCATATTTTTCAGAGCATAAGATGCACTGGAGTATAAGACGCACCAAGATTTTGAAGAGGTAAATTTTAAAAAAAGGTTTTGCACTCTGTGAAAAATGGGGCATACAGAGAGTTTGAGAGGCCTGCAAAGTGCTCCTGGAAGGTTGGGGGGACAAAAATGAACAAAAACAACTCATTTTTCACTTGTTTTTGCCCTCCCCAGTCCCCAGGTGTACTTTGCAGGCCTCCCAAACCCTCTGAACATCCATTTTTGCAAAGGGGGTGGGGTTTCGGGAGGCCAAAAATGCTGCATTCAGTGTATAAGACGTACCCAGATTTTCAGCCTTTTTTGGGGGGAAAGGTGCATCTTATACTCTGATAAATACGGTAATTGCCCAAAGGGAAATAGTCCACAATAAATTCAAAAGAAAGATTTTCGCGTTTTCCCAGGGCTCCCTGCTACTTACTTAAGGATGGAATTTTCCATTGCTATGAGAATGCATTTTGCATTATTGGGGCACTTTAAGAAACTAAAAAGCCTTTAAGAATCCCACTTTTACAGATTCTTATTTTCTCATTACATGGTTTGGAATTAATGGACCAAATTTTGTTGCCTGTGCTACTTAACTTTTGGAAGAGAGAAAATATTAGAGATTGGCTTTTTGAAAGGGATGGCAATAAAGATGCCATGTAATACAATCATCTACATTTCCATCTTGGTACTGTCACTATAAAAATATAGAAAACTTTCCCAATACCTGGTAAATATTACCAGTGTCTCACTGACAAGGGTGTGTACATCTCTTTGCCCACTGACCATGTTCTCAGCATATCTTAAAAGAAGATTTTGCAAGTGTCCTGTCAAACAAGGTTTCTGGCTATGGGATGTTGGTCAAATGAAGGACATTATTCTTATAATGTCCTCCACTGCCCCATTTACAAGGAGATTCGACCAACTGAGTGATGGCAGGTGAGCTCAAGGCCTCATATTTTGAAGAGTTAAACTAGGTTCTTGCAGATGTGTCCAACTATTATCAACCAGGTTGTTACTGTTGCTTTGCTGTCATTGAAACGTTGAAGGAAATACTTATGTTCTTAGTTGTAGGTCTGGTTTTATCTTCTTATATAATTATTATATCTAATATTCTATTTATTATTTCATTTCACAAACTCACTACTTTGTTATTTTATGGTATGTTATATATGTTTCTTTTGATAAACAATAATGACTTTCAATTTATCTGGAAGATGTATATCAAAATGAAATTAGCTGCATATGGTTTCTCCAGTAAGATCATAAAAGGATGAATATGGTCAAGAAAAAAAAAGTACTAAAGAAGAGAATTCTCAGATTATAAAATGCCAGGAAGATATTAGTATGGCACAAAGGCAATATAAGTCTTAGATGCTGTCCTGTACTACTACGCCAGCTATTGTCATTCCTTAACAAATTATATCATATTTACCCTCCCCAGCTTTGATGTACTGTCTTCAGCAGTCCTGATGATAGATAGTGAAAGATTTCCTACTGTGAATACCTCTGCCCACAGGACTCCTATACTGCAGAAAATGTGTGACAAGCTCAACTAAACTGTAATTTTAATAGTGACTTATGTCAGGAGTAATTAGACTCCTCATAAAAGGGCTGTCAAGCAGAGGTGATGTTTGGTATATCTCTTTTCTTCTAGCAGCCCATAGAACCATTGTTACCCACACATTGGTCAGATTTTGCCCGGCAACTATGAGAACACAGCAACAAATAAGGTCCAACATGAGTGACTCTTTAAAAAATAAACTATTAAAATCTATTAAAATTCCTTTTATTTTTATGTTGCTATTTAGATCTTCTTATTCCACTCTGTTTACAAATTATGCGGAATCTTGGGTGTATACACTGGTTTAACACTATAGTAAAAGCTTAACTGAAGTTATAAAAGCAAATATATTTTTTCTAAATGTATTGCTATTATTCCTCTTTGTGTTTATAGCTATTGGTGAATATGAAGATTTAAGAAAAGAAAATAAGAAAACAAAAGACGAGGTTGGTACTTATTTTGATATGATTTCATATTTTCATAATGTTTATTATCAACTGATTTTTATGGATCTTCTTGCTGAATATTTTGTCTTTATCTAAAGTTGATGAGATCCTTTCTGATATCAAAAGGTATTCATATCAAGGAACGTTTGGGGTATTTCAATACCATCATGACTATCAACATTTATTCCTGATATGTTTATTATTTTTATCATATAATTATTTTTATGGAGGTTAGTTATAGGGAGAAAATGCAGGTCCAAGATTAGAGGTATGCTATCAAATTAACACAGAGATGCATCTACATAAAAAACACACTTGCTAGGTATAACTGGAAGTAAAATGATCCTTCAAATATTATGCCCCATGCCTTATAGGGCTTTACAGGTAATAACCAACCCCTTGAATTACACATAGAAGCTAATTGGGCGTAGCAATGCAGCTAGGAGAGCGAAGATGTAACATAAGCTTAATGAGGCATACCCATAATTGTCTATGCCGCTGCATTCTGGATCAATTGGAACTTCTGAATATTCTTCAAGGGAAGCCTAATTAGAATGCATTGCGGTAATCTGCTCAGGATATAAATGAAACATAGAGACTGTGTAGTACCTCTCAATTCAAGAATAAGTGCAATTGGTCAACAACACAAAGTTGGGCAAAGGCACCCTGACCCTGACTGCCATCTGCTCTTTGAACTGGAGGTACAAGTCAAGAGGGACCCCCAAACCGCACAAATATTTTCTCAGATAGGGAAACCTCATACAGAACTAAGAAAGGAAAACCACCAGATCCAGGAGACCCTAACAAATCAAAACAATTATGCCTAGCTAGGCTCAAGTCTGTCCTTCCCTATACAGACTTCCATAGCCTCCAGGCCATGAGAAGAACTTCCATATCAACACTTGCTCAGTCAAAGGTAGAGATACAGTTGGGTATCATAGGAGGCATCCCACCTAAGAGGACTTGTAAATCAGACCTGTCCCCTCCTATAACGCTGACTAGAAGTGACCTCGCAGGAAGGAGTACCAACAAACACTGTGTCTCCAACTCCATGATCCTGGAGCTGGTTGAGAAGGATATATTATTGAGAACTAAAAAACCAAGGAGAGCAAGAATGGATACACTATTTTTATCTTTCCTTGTCATCTCCAAGTGTGATAGTGCCATTTCAGTCACATACTCTGTCCTAAAACCCAACTGGGCCAAACAATCCACTTCAAACAAAACCCTCTAAAGCTGCAAGACAACTATCTTCTCAACAATTTTCCCTAAAAGGGGGAAGTTGGAAATGGTAAAAATTGTCCCAAATGAGTAGGCCAGGAATGGTTTCTTAAAGAGGAGCTGTGTGAAGATGTTTTGCTTTGCAAGTATTGAACACATTACAGCATAAGAAATCTATACAAAATACTTCATTGCAACACACTCCAACAATTGGCCTATTGCTCTGGGTCAGTTTCAGCCTTCTAGGCTTTCAAGTTGATGTTGTCTCATAAACATGTCTTTAATAATTAGTACTTTAATATTTAGTCTGTTAATACTCAGTCAAATGAAAGAGTTTGTTTGACAAAAGTCAAAATCTTTGAAGTAACACATACAGGTAGTCCTCAACTTACAACCACAGTTGAACTCCAAATTTCTCTTGTTAAGTGAGATATTTGTTAAGTGAGTTTTGTCTATTTTACGACCTTTCTTGCCACAGTTGTTAAGCGAACTACTGAAGTTGATAAGTTAGTAATATGATTGTTAAGTGAACTTGGCTTCCGCATTGACTTCGTTTGTCAAAAAGTTGCAAAAGTGGATCCCTGGACCTTGGGGCACAGTAATGATCGTAACTATGAACCAGTTGCCAAAGATCTGAATTTTGATCACATGATTATGGGGACGCTACAAAGGTTGTAACTGTGAAAAATGGTCATAGGTCACTTTTTTCAGTGCTGCTGTAACTTTGAACAGTCACTGAATGAACTATTGTAAGTCAAGGAATACCTGTGTGCAGCTTTTGCTTTTATTCAAGCACTGTTGCATGAATGGGGATGAGGTGCTGTTTCAGTTTGCTAGCTCTTGTCTAGTTGTTGCCAAGCTCCAAACTCATTGGATTCCATCTGACTGTGGGATATGCTTGCTCACCATGGCTGGTGGTCCCAGCAGTTGAATGAATGTCCCCTTTCTTGCTTGTAATAGCTGCTATTACCATGGTGGTGCAGTGGTTAGAATGCAGTATTGCAGGCTAATTCTGCTGCCTGCCAGCAGTTCGAGTCTTACTCGGCTAAAGGTTGACTCAGCCTTCCATCCTTCCGAGGTCAGTAAAATGAGGGCCCATATTGCTGGGGGCAATAGGCTGACTCTGTAAACCGCTTAGAGAGGGCTGTAAAGTGGTATAAAAGTCTAAGTGCTATTGGTATTGCTATTCTTCAGATGTCACCTCTGCTTCTTCCTCCATAGGCCCTTTGCTTTTACCTTTCCTGCTACACACACCTCCTTTTCTCCCTCTGTCTTAGCATTTGCTTTTGTAAGCTGAAAAGACTGGATGGGGCGAAGCTGCTCCTGGGTCAGCATGTCCTTGAAAACACCAGGGTGGGGCTCAATTAGCCAGGCAGCTGGAGCACCAGCTTGAATGTCCCTATTAGTGCAGTTCTGAGAGAATGGATGAATGCCTGAGGAGAAGGGGGGGGGGGAGCAGCTTGTCTGCAACTACCCTAACTTCACTGCCTTACAAAGAGCAGGCAGCATTCCCAACTTCTTTCTCTCACAAGATGAACCCTTGCTTTTTTAAGGATGGCAGAACTATCCCCTCCGTCGAGGTTTTCCGCTTGTACTTTTCCCTAAGCATTGCAATGTACCACTTACATTGTTTACATAATAGTTAGCTTTTCTATTGTGTTTATTTTATGCATATCTACATTTGAAGTTTTCTTAATGTTTCATTTCCTAATCGATTTGTCAGTTCCTTCTGTAAGAGTTCTGCATGCTTTCCAGTTATATATGCATTCAAATTACTGGATTTTTTTTCTGCAGGTTTGTTGTTGTTGTTGTTGTTGTTTTGGGTGTATGATGTTATTCAATTTAGCTTTGAACTATTTTAAGTGGCAAATGTGATTTGTTCAGAAAAAATACTGTGGGCTTTTTTATGTCACTGAAGGTTCAAACTTTTGTTTTGAAGAAAAAGCTATGGGTACCTCATCTGGAATATCCTCCTAATTAGGTTTAGGAAGTTGTCTTCCTAGTTTCTGTTGAAACTGTCCATACTACTAAGAAATCAATTAAAAGTGTTTTTTTTACAATGTTGGAATCAATATGTAAATTTCTTTTGTAACAGTTCTGTATTTTCATTTTGGCAGAGTTTAGCAGTGCATGCCAATAAATGGATTTTTCTATTGTTTTTAATGAAGTTATTGCAAACTTTGAACAAATATGATAATTGAATTGCTCTGTTTTGGGGCATATTTATTCATTTATTTACTTGAAACATTTATATGGCCAGGCATCTTAAAAATCAAACTCTGGGTGTCTTGTTGAAAAGAAAGGGGACCTTGGCCCTTCATTGAAAAATGTATGATTCTCCAATGCTGCTTTTAGATTTTAAAGCAGCATTGGATTCTGTCGCATGCATCAAACTGGGGAAGAAACTGTAGGCCATGTCAACTGTGTGCTGCCTGTTATACCTAATATGAATGCTATATGAAGGCATGTTGCTCAATGTAAGGTGAAACCTCCAGGGCCATCTTGCTAGTACTAATGAAACCTGCAGGAGTATCAAATAAGGCTACTTATTGGCACTATTATTCAACATTTATATTGAGTCCCCTTCGGGGGAAAAGGGCAGCATATAAATATAATAAACAAACAATATAATTAACTCTATGGTGGATCAACTCCACAACTCAGACTTTCACTCTCCAAAACTTGCTGGATACACTTTTCCACCCGACAGTAGCAGACAATACAGTGATATTCTCAAGGACTCTTATTGGCCTTCAACAGTACTAAGAATTCTAAGACAATGATGCAAGGAAGACCTGCTAGAACCTAACTACTAGAAAACCAAAATTACAGCATTTGCTCAAAGAGTCCAAACTCATTTATGGAGTTTAGAAGACCGGAAGAATGAATAGTTTTCCTGTTTCAAATAGTTTACTTCTCTACTCTGCCATAGCAAGAAAGATAACGAGAACTTCGTGGTTTAAACTGCACAGGAGCCCATCTACCATCCTCCAAAGATGTTCAGTATATGCAGCTCAAGTTGTTTGGAGCCAAGCCAGCAGCGTTTTTCATGATACTCACTTGGGTCCCTTTCCCAATTTTGCCGTCCTGGAGTGTGTACAATCAAAATTCTTAAGAACAATCCTTCAAGTCACTAGCTGTATCTCCAGTGCCACCCTGCAACTGGGGACCAGGCCTCACTATGGTGGAGGCTACCGGGACTTTGGCTATGCTTAGCTGTTGGTTTGGACCAGTTCTCTTTCTCCTGGGTGTTTCCCCTTGAAAACATTTCACTTCTCATTCAAGAAGCTTCTTCAGTTCTTCAGGGGTAAGCAAAATGTTTTCAAGGGAAAAAATTAAGAAAGTCTAGTTGCCTTTTGAAAAGCACCTTTGAGATCAGCAAGGACCATTACTTTGGCATGATGTCACACCCTTTCAGTGTGCAGGAAGACTCATTTCTCAGAACAAAAATGCCCTTGTAACAGTGAGGCATATAGAAGCAATACATTTTCCTCCAGTGCTTATTTAGAACCATATGAACCTCATTCTACTATACAGCATCCAGGACTCATGGCATCATTTTGCATTTCCCTGTTCCTTTTGGAAATAAATTGGGCTACAACATGCAGTATTTTTTTATTCTCGCAGGAACACTTGACATTCATTGGTTAATGCCAAACCATATAGCTTATTTTTGGCAACGCCCCTAGTTTTTAACTATGGAGTGATCCTAGAACCTTTAAAACCTAGAAGCTTATGGTCTTTAATAGTCGGCCCATAATGTAACTTTTTATGTTTTTGACACCCTTTTGTATCTTTTATATGTCTATGTCTTCTTTTATTGACTGTATTCCTTCCGCATGCCTTATCCTTGTCTATTTCAATAATAAACATTGATTTGAATTGGTTTAATTTGACTAAAGGCAGAAGAAGACCATGGCTTAAGAGGTGAGCGGATTACATTTTATGTGAAGCTGTATATTAAGATAATAAACAAGAAATAATTATATTTATTTTATACTAGGGATTGTAATTCTTCCTCCCTTACTGTGTATGCATTTTGATAGCTTTTGTTGTTAATAAAAGCCAACTATTTCTATTGATGGGAAGAGGGTGCTATATGAGAGTACATTTTAGCAGACTTTTTCCCATTAAAAATAAACCTACTGTTGATTTACAAAAAAAACCTGTCTATGTATTCAATCCTTTCAGGTTATTTATTTGAATCTCTGATATGAATATACAAGATATCTTTTTTACTTCTACATATTCAAACATGTTTGGCTTTGTATAGATGTTTTTGTGCATGTGAGTTAAGATTGAAGAAAGAATATTATGTAGGATGTATGGCGGCTAGCATCTTTAGATTTGATAGCCTTGACCATTCATTTTTATTCTAAGATACAAAGCATTTTTTAAAAACAAAAATAGTAGGCATTTCCATTGTCATATAAATCTTAGTTGGGTTCTGATTGAAATGTTTTAATTCTAGCTGCTCTTCAAGATTGCATCTCATTCTATTTTATTTTTATAAAGGAAAGGTGCAGGTTCCTAGAATGTCAGTTGAATTTGGAGTGACCTGAAAGAGTCATAGTTATAATTTCAAAAATAAAGTTATTGTTGTCTTGCGGTATTGGTGGTGCTATCAGCTTAAAGGTATGTGCAGTGGAACATGAGAGATGGTTTGGCCAGGATTTTCCCCCCTGAGATTAAAGGAAGAGAAGTCGGGACAGCTGAGTCAAATTGAGATGACAACACTGGTGAATGGAGGATAACTATTGTTTTTATAATTTCATGTACCCTGCCACGGAAAGTGCTTTGTTTACGAAGGCATGGTATTCCAAAGAAAGGGGCATGAGGCAAATCTCTCCATGTCTCCATAACTATTTTCAAGGTTGACTCAGCCTTCCATTCTTCTGTGGTGGGTAAAATGAGGAGCCAAATTGTTGAGGGCAATATGCTGATTCTGTAAAACAGCTTAGAGAAGGCTGTAAAGCACCATAAAGTGGTATATAAGTCTAAGTGCTATTGCTATTGCTATTTACAATCTAATTCATGTTCTTCCCACTATAGATGTTCATATTTAGAACTTACAACAACTAACAACTTTGTGTTGCACCCACTCTAACATGCAATCAGATGACTTTTATTTAAGAACTGCTTCTGTTTTAACCTACCACCACTAATTAAAAAAAAATCATGATTGTGAATGTTCTGCGTCAAATTAATTTTGCACTTATATAATGAATTTATAAAGATCGGGTTCACATTTATCTTGATGAATGCTGGGAGTTGAAGTCCATACATCTTAAAGATGCCAAAGTTGAGAAACATTGTGCTGAGCCAATTACTAGGGTTTTTTTAAATTAGTGGTGGTAGGTAAAACAGAAGCAGTTCTTAAACAAAAGTCATCTGATTGCATGTTATAATGGGTGTAACAAAAAGTTGTTAGTTATTGTAAGTTATCTGAGATGGCAAAAAATAAGATAGCCAAGGAAGACTCCCTTTAAAAACAAGCTTAAATTCACATATTTCAGGAAAAAAACCATGCATCCTTATCAACAGAACTAAGCACAACAATGGAAGAATAAACTGGTACTAATTATGAGATTGTAGGTACAGTTTTTATATCACTGGAGCTTTTTCAGCCTTTAGAGTCGGTACATCCAACCGGTCAGCTTGATAGAATTACATAGCATCCTAGTTATTACGCTCTCATGTTTCCCTACTTTTCTTTGTATAGAAGAAAGAATGAGAAAGAGAAAGAGAGAGAGAGAGAGAAAGAAAGAAAGAAAGAAAGAAAGAAAGAAAGAAAGAAAGAAAGAAAGAAAGGAAGGAAGAAAGATGGAATAGTTCTGTATTGCCTTTAATGGAACTGTCTGCTAGAGTACTCCTGTGAACTCTGTTGATAAAATACAAAAGTAAATATAAAGACATAGTAAAGGCTACTCTTTGTTTTCATGTGAAAATTATTCCAACTATGTATATATTGAATTTGAAAGAATTTGGGATATAGAATACATAGAGCTATTAAGTTTAAATGGAAAAAAATTCACTCTATTCTATATGAATAGACAAGAATGAAGCTATTTGCAAGATTTGCCTATTGCTGCACATGCAATTCAATATATATAAGTCCAGACTCCAGAATTTAAAATCTAAGTTTTTTCATCTTGCATTTCCAAATCTGTGTATAGTTAACTATTCCTTCATTGACTTTGGGAGGCAGTGATTGGTGTTAATGTAACAATTTTGTCTACCCTGGAAACTGCTGTCTACAATCTTCCTACACCCCCTCATACTAGTTTCTTCCCTAACACCCACTACTTTTCTTTCACATTTAGTTGTAAGCTCTTCTTGCAGTTTTAAACAAACTCCTAGTTTCGTTCTATTTACTGTCAATTGTGAGAAAGTAATCCTTTTTTAATATGAAAACATATTTTTCTCCAGTGTGACAAATTCAAACAAGAGAGAGATGAAGTGGTCAAACAGCTGCAAGAACTGCATAAAGGTAAGGTTTAAATGAGCAAAAATCGGTTTAGTCTTTCCAGAGCTGCAACTATTTATGTATAATAGGGTGATTTTATGAGAAGTGGCAATATTTTTCTACAGGTTTTTTTTTGCAGTTCATATACTTTGAAATCTACTCCCAGCACCCCAAACTAATAATGTGCAGGAGACTCTGAGTTGTAGACTCCACCTTAGGCATGAAAACTGGCTATGTGAGACTGGCCAGTCACTCTCTTTCTCACCTCACAGGGTTGTTGTATATGGAAAATAGGAGGAAGAATGAGTATTAGATATGTTTGCTGCTTTCAGTTATTTATGAAATAATAAAAATCAAATAAATAAAAGCTTTTCCAATTTCCATTGGTGGTCTTTGCATATAGACTATATATTGGATATTTATTTTCCATCACTTGCATGCATGTATGCATGATATATAGATATATAGATCTGCCTAAGAGGCAATAGAGCACAGGTTCGATTCACAGCAAGGCTATGGCTAGCTGATGAGAGCTAAATAGCTTGAAATAGATCTATACTAG